TGAAGTAGGAACTCTGTCCATGCTCTGTTGCTGTTTGTTGGATAGTTGAATATTTATAGCTGTGGGTACAGCTTTTGTCTTTTTTCAGGAGATAGGGTGATCAGCGTGTTTTTTGTTGTGATAAGAGGGGAGAGATTATCTGTTATTGTCATTGATGGGTGTCATTAGCTGGTCGTTTTTGTGCAATGATCCCTGGTCCTTAAGGGCTGGGTAGAGTTCATTGACCTTTTACAGGCTGTATTTTTCAATATTGGGAGCCAGGCAATGTTTAGTTTTATGCCTTCTTCCTTTTTGTTGAAGTTCTGTTGATGTTTATGGATTGCAATGGCTTCCATGTGCAGTCTAACATAATGATTGCTGGTGTTGTCCAGTACTTCAGTATTTTGAAATAAATTTCATGTCCAGCTTGTTTTAGGACATGTTCAGCTACTGCAGATTTTTCTGGTTGTTTTAGTCTGCAGTGTCTCTCATGTTCTTTGATTCTGGTGTGAATGCTGTGTTTTGTGGTTCCAATATATATATCTGTACACAACTGCAAGGTATCCGGTATATTTCTGCAGTAGTGAGGGAGTTCCTTTTGTCCTTTGCTGAACGTAACATTTGTTGTATTTTTGTGGTGTGTCTGAATACTGTTTGTAGGTTGTGTTTTTTCAAGTTTCCCCATGCAGTCCATGACCCCTTTGATGTATGGCAGAAATACTTTATTTGTGGGTGGCTGTTTTTCCTCTTCAGTTTGGTGTTGTTTTCTTGGTTTGATGGCTCTTTTGATTTGCATAGCTGCAAAAATTGAGGGAAATGTATTACACAACAAATGCACACAAAAGTGAGAACTTAACAGGTGCAGAGAATATTATATTGCAAAGCAGATTGCTGGAGTGTTTCAGACTGGCAAGCTTTTCCTTGGAGAAGCAGCATTTCAATTTGATCTTTATTCTTTCCAATTTCCGTTAGATTCTGATAAAATGGTTCAATAAAGAAGCAAGTGTAGGGAAAACATTATCTGGTGTGTGTGTGTGTGTGTTTCTGTTGTACAAAAACTGCTTCCTTTAAACAAGTAGGGATTTTCTTGGCAATAAAATAATCATTTGCACTTGATTTCTACAGTGGTTAAAGATACAGACAACAATCTAACTATTTCTTTGAGCTCAGTGGGACTTTTAAAGGACTTCTTTTTATGTGAATCATTCTGAATTTCTTTTTTAACAAAAAAAATCCTAAAAGAACAGAATAAACACTGGAATTTCTAGTGATTTCATGGTTGCTCAGAAATACACATTCCATGCTTTGCAACATGATTGCTGTTATGCAAGCTGACAAGTACCCCATGCTTTAATATATTCCACAACATAATATTCTTCAGAGCTACTTACAATCAAGAGAGAGGTAAAAAATAACTGCAAATCTGTAATTTGTGTCAAATGGCTGTGGCCATCTTTTATTCAGTCTCTTCAGCTTTATTCTTTTGCACCCCTTCTTTTTGATGAGTGCGTATGAAATATGATTCTGCTGTAATTTACAGTTCAGTCCGGAAGTCCGGTACTTCTGTGAATGCTTCTCCATGGTAGACATAGGGGTAGCTACTAGATGTAGATACTAGACATTTAGTCCACTCATGTCCAAGTCTAGGGCACGGTGCTCAGCCCTGTTTCCAGGCCATAGAGCCAGCATTTGTCTGAAGACTGTTTCCGTGGTCACATTCCCACCGAGGTGGTACCTATTCATCTACTCACATTTTCACATGCTTTCAAACTGCTAGGTTGGCAGGAGCTGGGACAAGCGACGGGAGCTCACTCCGTCACGTGGATCCGATCTTACGACTGCTGGTCTTCTGACCTTGCAGCACAGAGGCTTCTGCAGTTTAACCCACAGCGCCACGACATCCCTACTAGATGTTCACAGAAGTTCCCAATTAATGTAGTAGGCTTGCTGATACTTCATGAAAGAAGACAGAAATTCCTAAATATTTACTAAATAGTTGTCCCTCTTGACAAATTCACCACATGCAGCTTATATTTATAATCAGCTACTGAAGTATTTTACTTTCTTGGGCTCCATGATCACTGCAGATGGTGGCAGCAGCCACGAAATTAAAAGATACCTGCTTCTTGGGAGGAAACTGATGACAAACCTAGACAGCATCTTAAAAAGCAGAGACATCACCTTGCCAGCTAAAATCTGCATAGTCAAAGCTATGGTTTTTCCTGTAGTGATGTATGGAAGTGAGAGCTGGGCCATAAGGAAAGCTGACCATCAAAGAATTGATTCTTTTGAATTGTGGTGCTGGAGAAGGCTCTTGAGAGTCCCCTGGACTGCAAGGAGAACAAACCTATCCATTCTAAAGGAAATCAACCCTGAGTGCTCACTGGAAGGACAGATCCTGAAGCTGAGGCTCCAGTACTTTGGCCATCTCATGAGAAGAGAAGACTCCCTGGAAAAGTCCCTGATGTTGGGAAAGGCAAGAGGAGAAGGGGACAACAGAGGGGTCACGAAGAGTCGGGCACCACTTAACGACTAAACAACAACAACTGAAGTATCAGTTACTCATATGGACTTGTTTTCACATTTTCCATCAAAGTGAACTGCTTCCACTGGCTCTATGGAAAAAGATTTCAGAGCTGCAGATGCAGCTGAAGTAGTGGCCATCACCCCAGTTCCAATAATCCCAGTGCCAGGGCTGGAATGCTTCATTGGCTGCAGCCATGTACACATCTTTTGTAGAAATCCCCAGGAAATAACTGAGTTGGTAAGAGCTGCTAAAAATATCAGTGTAGTACTGTACTGTGGGGCTACAACACAGTAGTATCTATCAGTGCTTGGTCTAAAATATCTTCCTGAAAACCAGAAGTTTATGGAGTGAAAAAGGCTAACAAATATATTCTCATTGACTTCTGATTTTAAACAAAAAAATAAAAATAAATCCTTTTTCCAAAACAGTAATGTCTGCTATATTTAAATTAAAACAAACCACTCTTTCATTTTTCTGAACTTCATGAAGCAGATGTTGTTTTTAGAGAACAGATGGAGATTCCAGTTATGGCCCAATATAATGTACTGCTGATACAAAATGCTGTTCATTTTTCAGTAAGTGATTTTTAATGGATTGAGTTGAACGCCTCAAGACCAATGCATTCAGGCAGAAGACAGAGGGTGCAATTGCAAGAGATGCTCAAAATTTGACACATTCTATTAATGTTGTGAGCCGCTTTGGGTCCCTTGTTGGGAGAAATGTGGCATATAATAAAACTAATTCTACTTCTACTTCTACTACTTCTACTTCTACTACTACTACTGCTACTACTACTACTACTACTACTACTACTACTACTACTACTACTACTACTACTACTACTAA